TGAAACAAACATTTTGGTAAACATGGATTACCGTTTGGTCCTGTCCAAACCTTATTCACACAGACAGCCCCCGCCTTCCGCCAAGTCGCCTTCTCCTGAGGAGAAGCATTAGCCTTGGCCTGCACAAGGTCAGAGAGGGAGACGGTTGGGGTTAAAACAGCCATCTGTAGAGCCGTGTCCAGATGTGCCTGATCATCCGCTTTGCAGCCTGATCTGCTCTGTGGTTTCCAAGGGAGACCACGTCCTTGTCATGCGTGTGCACTTCAAATTTGCATATAGCAACCTGTTTAGGCAACAAAACAGCATCTAACAGATTATGAATCAGCTGCCCATGTTGAATTTTGGTGCCTGAGGAGGTGATAAAACCCCGCATTTTCCACAGTGTGCCAAAATCGTGGACAACCCCAAACGCATACCTGCTGTCAGTGTAAATGGTAACAGTTTTCCCATCACTCAAAATACATGCACGGGTTAGAGCAAACAACTCTGCAGCTTGGGCAGAGAGGTGGTGAGGAAATCTAAATCCCTCAATTACCCCATCATCAGTGACAATGGCATATCCCACATTATTACATGAGGAAGAAAGTGATTTGCTGGCTGAGCCATCAACATAGAAAATCAAATCACTGTTGGCAATGGTTCATCAGATAAATCAGCACGTGGGGTACATTGTTGATTAATGACAGTCAAACAATCATGAGGTTCCCCATCCTCCTCAGTAGGCAGAAATGTTGACGGATTCAAAATGGGGCTACGGACAATCGAAACATGTGGTAGTGACAACAAGACATTGTGGTAATTTAAAGACCTCGCACCAGAGAGGTGACTTGTCTTGTGCTCCAACAGGATGGAAGACACAGAGTGAGGAACCCGTAGCTCAAGAGGCTGGAAGCAGACTAAGGCCTGCGACCGTAACACAGCCTCTGCTGCGGCAGCCACAGCTTTTAAGCAATGAGGTAGTCCCTGTGCAACCGCATCTAGCATGGATGAAAGATAAGCAATGGGGCGTTACTTGTCCCCATGTTTCTGCATCAACACAGAGGACATGTACCCGTTCTTCTAACATACTGCCTGAACAAAAGGTTTAGTGGGATCAGGAAGCTAAACACTGTTTGAGCTGTGTAAATGAGTTCTCCCCCTCAAAAGTCCACACCATCCTATCGTGGGAGGCTAACTTCTGATTATAAACCATGCTCTCTAAAGGTTGGACTAACAAGGCGTACTCAGGAACCCATTGTCTACAGAAGCCAGTCATCCCCAAAAATGACAACATCTGCTTCTTGGTCAGAGGTTTAGGCATGCTAGTAATAGCTTTGATCCTGTCTACACTCAGACTTTTACCCTCAGGGGTGATCATGTGCCCTAAAAAGATAACTTCACTTTGCACAAATTGAAGTTTGTTAGGGCTGGCCTTGTGGCCCTGTGATGCTAGATATTGTAGCAACAGAACAGTGTCTTTTTCACAAGACGCTTCGTCAGGGGAGCAGATCAACAAATCATCAACATATTGGACAAGTGTACTACCATGACTAAATGTGAATTTGTCCAAAATATCCCTAAGAGCCGCGGGGGCCGCGGGAGATTCACATTAGCCTTGTGGTAAACATGTCCATGTGTACATCAGACCAGAAAATTCAAAAGCAAACCAAAACTGAGAATCTTTGTGTACTGGTACACTGAAAAAAGCGTTTGCCAAATCAATAACAGAAAAATATTTGCTCCCACTCGGAACTTGGGACTTGATTGTGTACGGATCAGTAACGCCCGGTGCACGAGCAAACACTGCGTCATTAACCTTTTTCAGATCCTGAACAAATCACCATGCTGTAGCATGACCGGGAACCTTGGCTTTTTAACCGGAAAAATCGGAGTACGACATGGGCTGTTTGGGCAAGATACAATGATCCCTTTTTCTATCAATGCCTCAAAAACAGGAGTAATGCCCTGGATTGCTTCTGGTTTTAATGGGTATTGTGCCTGACAAGGTCTGTGAGGTCCCCTGGGCGTAACTACGAGTGGCTGTGCGTTCTGCATTAACCCGACATCGTATTTATGTTGTGACCATAGAGAAGGAGGAACATCCGCTAGCCTTGGGTCTGTTACGGCTATCTGAGTCGCACAAACATGGAACAACTCATTGACAGGCGGAACTAAATGTACCTCTCTACGTCCTATCACAGTACACCCGAAACGTTCCCTATGCGCTTGTGCCATCTCGGACCAATCAACACTCTCCATCTGGGTTGGAACCCAATCAGAAACCTCGCTACACTTCTTAACCCAGTGACCTACAATGTCCCGTGTGCAGCTAAATGGGTGTTCAACAAGCAAAACATGTGGAACTGATCCATGTACTTGAAAGGAACGTGACACCTCCTTTGTGCCTCTCACTGACCACGCACATAACCCAGTATCACTCCAGTAGAGATAATCTCCAGTTAGGAAGTCTGCCTGACTGTCCCGACCTCTACACCACTGTTTCAAACTCATCACTACGGCATTCGAAAACACTGGCAATACAACGCAAGTCGTTAGCGTCATTTATCTGCACAGAATCTCCCATTCTGTCCGAAGCCATAGCAACAAGGGTGTCAGAAATCGCCCTAGAGCCAGTGTAGTCTAAATCCCATGAATAACGATAGTTCAGGGGTTGTGCACTATGCTGAACCGCTTGTACAGTACTGCAAATGATCTTTATGCCTTTATCTGAACACTCTAACGTAATGCCTAACTGTGTCATTAAATCTCTAGCCAACAGGTTAACAGGGCAACATTGAGACAATAACAATGAATGTTTTGGGTGATGCTGACCCGCTTCGTCTACAATAGAGGTTGTTCCCAGGCTGAGTATCCGTCCCCGTCCCGTCGTCTCCCCATCCCGCTGTGCAGCTCAAACTCTCGTTCAAGACGATTCCTGAAGTCTGCAACACTTTCATCTTTCTTTTGTTTACAGTCTGAAATCTTTTCCCATCGCATCTTTCTTGGGAAATGTGCAATAACTGGTTCACACAATTTCGTGACTGCCTCTTGATATACCGAATCCCCCCGGCTGTCGTAGGTTCTGGGAGGCATATCAGCTGGCCAGTCGCCTTTTACACGACCCCAACGAAGAAATAGGGCGTGCATCATATCCATTTCAATCTCGGCTATGTTTGGTTTGTACTGGTCAATTATCTGGCGGAAAACTCTGGTGAATTCTTCACCACCGTCTTTCTCTGGGTCTGGTAGGGAAGCGGCCACGTCTCTCAGATCAGCCAGTGACCATGGGCGGTACACAAGGATTGTAGCTGGATTGTCGTCTTCACCTCCAGCCATTGGGTTAGCAACTTCCACCATCGGAAGCTGTTTGGCCGGTAACCCCTCTAGCAGTGTCTTTCGTTTCGAACTTCTTGTCCCGCTCGAAACTGGGGAAGACGGTCTCGGCATGTCTTCCTTCAGAGCAGCACTCGCTTCCTCCAGAGCAGCCCGCGCGAGATGGTAGGGCAGGGGACGACAGGAGGGAACATCGAGATCCTTCTCCAGCCTAGTGGCAGATGCTAACACACACTGATTAGTAGTCGCTTTGTTCTTCTGCCTCTCTCTAAGCGACGTCTCCTCTTTCCATATACTAAACGCCTTCCAATCTACTTTGCGTTTACCTGATTGCATTTTTTAAATTTGACCTTCCTTATAATCCTGTAATTTGCCCTTTAACTCGCTTATTTGGCGAGGACTAAAACTCCCATTATCTGGAAATCCTAATTTTGACCATAAATCTAATTGGTTGCAGGTCCAATCATCATATTTGTCAACCATTATTTTTGCGGGACCCTCCCTTGGGCGAGGAACCGCATTGGATTTACAATTAGACTTTCCCATGGTTAAGGAAAATTAAAACCTTGAAAATAAGTTTTGGTAAAAAGAAATTATCTGTCCAACAAGATCTGTAATTAAAATTAAAACCTGGTGGTACCTATCAAATAGGATTTAATTCTTAATCAAATCAAGAAAAGAGAATGATCTGTCCAACAGAATCTGTAATTAATGAACGTAACGACCTAGTGGCACCTATCAGTCTCAATCAAATCAGCCCAGCGCTGTTTGACAGACTCGTCAGTCTCTTAGTGAGACCGGTCTCCGAGACCCTTGAGAAATCCACCCAGTAGATTTGGTGACCTGTAAAACAGATCAGAAATTAATAATGACCTGCCTAGCAGATCTGTAATTAACAAGTCTATATCACGCCAATTAAATACCACCCAGTAGTAACTGATACGACTATTCTCAAGTGCTACAACATAATTTCTCCCTTGCGTCCTTTTCTCCTAGCCCAGAAAATAAGCAGTACACCTCTCCCCCTCCAGTGCATACTGTACTCTGCTCCTCACAATTGCCCCCCTACACATTCTATTCTCATACGCATCAAAAGCAGCTTTAGCTTTAATATAGCCTGTAATGTCATACCCCTCCACACTCTCCCCTAGCTCCAGCTCAACCTGGAGCCGCCTACGTAGTTCAAGACTCTCCCTTTTCAACAGAACGTACCTTTGCCTTTCATAAGTTATACTCAACTTTTTAATTTTCCCTTTCAGCTTCCCCCACCACTCCCCAACATCGACTTTTCCGCAAAGATCACTTATCCCTTCCTCAATACAACCAGTTATTAAACGAACATATCCCTCATCCTTCAGGAAGCTGGCATTCAGGCACCATACCCCCCACCCTTACTTCTCACCCTCGGCCACTAAACCAGCCTAAGTGATGCATTATCACTCAATGAATTGAAAGTATACCCAATATCTACCCCACCAGTAGCCAGACCATGAGACAAAATACAAGAATAAGCCATTTTCATAAAGGCACTGCTGAGATTCAAACTCAGGATCTCCTGTTTACAAGACAGGCACTTTAACCAACTAAGCCACAGCGCCGATACGTGCTAACAATCTTCTAGGGTTTCGAAAGCAAAAATGTATCTTCCAGACCATGAGACAAAATACAAGAATAAGCCATTTTCATAAAGGCACTGCTGAGATTCGAACTCAGGATCTCCTGTTTACAAGACAGGCGCTATTGCCGAATAAGCCACAGCACCGATGCGTGCTAACAATCTTTTAGGGTTTCGAAAGCAAAAATGTATCTTCCAGACCATGAGACAAAATACAGGAACAAGCGATTCTCATAAAGGTACTGCTAAGATTCGAATTTAGGATCTCCTGTTTACTAGACTGTAGCTTTTACCAACTAAGCCAAAGCGCCGATCCGTGCAAACAATCTTTTAGGGTTTCGAAAGCAAAAATGTATCTTCCAGACCATGAGACAGAATACAAGAACAAGCCATTTTCATAAAGGCACTGCTGAGATTCGAGATCAGGATCTCCTCTTTACAACACTGGCGCTTTAACCAACTAAGCCACAGCGCCGATACGTGCTAACAATATTCTAGGGTTTCGAAAGCAAAAATGTATCTTCCAGACCATGAGACAAAATACAAGAAAAAGTGATTCTCATGAAGGCACTGCTAAGATTAGAGCTCAGGATCTCCTGTT